TTCCTCACCCATAACATACATACAGTGTCACCTCCTTTTAAGAGCTACTCTGAAAATTAAATGAGATAATGTACATAAAGCCTCAGGAGAGTACCTGGTATATTAGGACTTAATCAAATTAAAACTCCTATTACTACTATTACTAGAATTCCTCGCTAGGAACTCAATGCAGGCTAAGTATTTCATTCAGCATAACTACTAAAATAAGCTCTAATTTTGCCAAATGACGTTAAATCGTACGTCAGGTCACTTGTGCAAATAACCTTGTTGCAGAAATGCATCAGCTCTTACAGGCTTCAGATGTCCTCCTGGGAAACATTTACAAGAGGTTAACTCAGGTTTTTCCTTCTGGAAAATATCTACCAAGGTTTCTGGTAGGTGTTAAATAATACATTATTTTTTAAAGAATGGTGTGTATAAGTAACAGTATGGGCAAGTAAATTAAGTAATTAATAGCTTTCTTAATCAGATATTCTTTTGATCTGAAACATAAGAGTTTATAACCTCTGTAAAAACTGCCATAGAACAGTTTTGACTAACGCAAACCACAAAGAGGTTGGAGCCAAAATTACAACTGGAGAAGTGGTTATCAGTATGGAGAGACAGATGTGAACAAGGGCTTTTTTCCTTCTCTTTTTCATAACATTACAGCAACTTAAAAAAAAAAAACTGAAAAAATCCAAAACCAAGGCATAAAAATGTCACATATTTAGTTGACATTTATTATGATTTTTAGGAATCTAAAACTCCATTCAGAAGCAAGGGCAAAAAGAAATTGTTCATGGAGTAACATGCACCTAAAGGAAAACAGAGGTCCAAAAGTAAACCATCATCCTCAAAACTCTACTCTGCAACTTGAAATAATGAGAATATATGTTCCTGGACAGAAGTAATTAGAACCAACTCATAGGAGACCATGTGACAAGTGTAACAGGTTTTAAATATCACCTAATGCACTAACTTCCAAAATGCAAATCCATCCTTTCCTCTCTATTCTCACTGCCATCATCTTGGTTTAATCCTTCATTATTTCTCACCTGTTCTGCTACAACAGCCTCCCCGAACGGATCTTCCTATATCCGTCCTCATCCTTCTCCAATCCATTCTGAACACTGTAGCCAAAGTGACTGCTCTCAAACCCAAACCCAATCTGATCATGTCCCTTCCTGGCTTAATTCCTTCAAGGGCTCTCCATCATCTATCCTCCTACATTGCTTCATTTTTATTCATCATACTTACCATCATCTGACATACTGTGTTACTTGTCTGTTCACTACCTCCACTCCAATTAGAATGTAAGTCCATAACGGCAGGGTTTTTTTTTTGTTGTTTGTTTTGTTTTTTTGCGGTACACGGGCCTCTCACTGTTGTGGCCTCTCCCGTTGCGGAGCACAGGCTCCGGATGCGCAGGCTCAGTGGCCATGGCTCACGGGCCCAGCCGCTCCGCGGCATGTGGGATCTTCCCGGACCAGGGCACGAACCCGTGTCCCCTGCATCGGCAGGTGGACTCTCAACCACTGCGCCACCAAGGAAGCCCAATAACGGCAGTTTTTGTTCAGTTATGTGTTGCATAGTAAGCAAACATTCACACATAAACGAGTGAAAGAATGAATGGACTGATGACCTACAGGCCAAAGGCCTCCATGGCCTGCTTATGCCCTCCTCTTTTCACTTTACTCCCACCTCTACCAATACTGAATTATTTAGTTACCCAAATACAAGATGCACTTTCACGGCCCCCTGCTTTGCCATATGCTATAACTTCTGTCTGGAATACAAACTCCCCTCACCTTCCAATCAACCTACCACACTATCATCCATATTTTTAAACCGTCTTCAGAAAGCTTTCCCTGACCCCCTAGATAAAGTATATCACTCTTTCTTTCCTTTGTGCTGCATCTCCCTTTCTATACTGAACTCTTTGAGGCCAAGGACTATTATCATCTCTTTACCTCCAATACCTAACAACCTAAGACAGTATGTCATAAAGCAACTACTCTATAAATGTTGAGTAAATTAACATGCATGACTACTCTGTAAGAGGAATAAAAGCGTGGAGTTTCAAGAAGTTACTCCTCCAATTCCATGATGATAATCAGTCATGAGATAAAAGAATTACAACCAATGACATCATCCAGGGTAATAAAAGAGAAGGAATTATACGAATAATACACATCACCAAGTGCTTCCAAAATGACATGTAGTCACACTCACACTTTACTAGATATACACACTGGCTCCTTCCTGCTCCATCACTTGCCTTCCCTTTAGGCTCAGCTCTGGTGCTGGCAAACTGAGCCCCAGCTAAGCAGTAGATCACTCTGTGAAGAAGCTTCTGATGTTCCATCGAATACAAGTTTTTGTGTTCCCTCATATTTTGATTCAAACTTTAAAAGAGTTGTACAGGATTAAATTTTACCACTAGCCACACCTAATCCTGAATGAAAGACCAGAGCCACTGATAGCATAGATTACATACAGTTGGGACTTCAGTCCACAGAACAGCCACAGAAGGCCTCCCAGACCAGTCACTTTCAGCCATGAGAAGCCTCATCCATTACACCAATGTGCCTTCCAAACATTACTATTTTTCTCCAAATGCTACAGACAAAGGCCCCTAAATCCAGCCTTAAGGAACACCTGTCCTACCTACTTAGCTCTGAGAGTGTGAACCTGCATATAAATGTACAATCACACAGATGCACACAAATGAATGGACATAAATGTACATTAAGCCATTAGAAAAATTAAAAGTTTTAAATCCAGTCACAGCTAATATAACTTCAAATGAAGCCAGAGGCCAAGATGTGATTCTTGATTCCTTCCTCCCCCACCACTCTGTAACCAAGTTATGGAAAATGTACCTCCTAATACTTTTTCAAATACTTTTTCAAACATTATGCCCTAGTTCAGAATCACAGCATTTTCTCACTAGGATAATAGTCTTCTAAATGGTCTCCCTGTCTCTGGACTCAATCAAAACTGCATCTCCCATTTGTTGAGGGGTTATGAAACAGGCATTGCACTAAGCGCTTGATCACTTTATATTTTCCAATTCTCACAACAACAATGCAAAGCAGGAATTATTGTCCTCATTTTCAAAGATGAGGGGTCTAAAGCTCTGAGAGAGGTTAAGTGACTTGCCCAAAGTCATGCAGCTGGAATTGTGAAGGAGAAATTCAAACTCAGATCTATGTTTCCAGAAACTGTATGTTCAGCTGTTTAAACCTTCAACTCAATCCTCAATGTGACCTTTCTAAAAGGTAAATGTAATTATGTTTTACCCCACATAAAATCCTGCAAACAAGACCACATCTCCAACCCTCATCCCAAGTCATTCTCACCTCCTTCTGCAACACTTAACTCTTAGCAATTCAACCTCTCACTGCTTTACCTGTGAACACAGTTTTTCCACCAAGGATGCTTTTCTCTGGACTTCCCTGGTGGTGCAGTGGTTAAGAATCCGCCTGCCAATGCAGGGGACACAGGTTCAATCCCTGGTACAGGAAGATCCCACATATCGCGGAGCAACTAATCCCGTGCGCCACAACTACTGAGCCCGCGTGCCTAGAGCCCGTGCTCCGCAACAAGGGAAGCCACCGCAATGAGAAGACCGCACACTGCAACGGTGAGTAGCCCTCTCGCCACAACTAGAGAAAAGCCCACACGCAGCAACAAAGACCAAATGCAGCCAAAAAAAAAAAAAGCTCTTCTCCTTTGGCAGGCTCCTTCCAATACAACCTTCAAGATTTACTCAGGCAATCCTTACTCTGGAAAGCCTTTGCCCTAACAAATAAATACCCAAATCCGGGTTAAGTGACTATTTGCTATGGTTATCAGCTAAGTTTCTTATCTCACTGTGTTATAACATTACTTTACTAGGCTATCAGTTCCTTATGAGTAAATACTGCATTTTTAAATCTCTCTATTCTTAGTACAGTGAGCATGTATTGAAGGAAGGACTCATGAATGTTGAATTAATGAATGAATTCATTGGAAGCAGTACTGCTCAAGAATTTGGCCCTAAAGTCAACTTGACGCACTTTCGAAATCTAACCTGCCACACACTGTACCTGCCAATCCTGCAGCAGGCTTCTAAATCTTGTTTATTTCTTCATCTGTAAAATGAGAGATAACTGCACCTACCTCATAGTTTGGAGAGGAGTAAAAGAAATCACAGATTTAGCACAATCTCTGGCACGCTGAAAGTACACATTAAACATTAGCAACTTTTTTTTCCACTTTAAAAGTTTATCCATGCTGACAAAATCTCAAAAAATACCTTTTCCTTGTGGCTTCCATCAGAGCTTAACATTTCGCCAAAAAGTCGTAGTCAAGATGTCTTACAAACAACCTCAACCACAGACAAGGATCTTTCACCTTCTGGTTACACCAGAGCTCAGTAGCTACCACCACACCCTAAATCACTAACTAGTGTCTGCTGTTTATTGCTTCTAACCCACCCCTCGATTTCCTCCCTCAAAGTCAAAGACCATGTCCCTAAGCAAGCAGAAATCTACCCCACAGAAACCAGTCAGCAGCACCTTCTTCCAGAAACCACTTCTCCCCGCACCGAAGCCTGAGCGAATTAGAAGAGATCCATCATTTGGTACGAACCTAAATTTCTTTAGAGGATCACAATAAAACCCCTTCTATTTATTCCAAGACCTTGGCTTCCAAAGTATTAATTCCATACAGAGAATGAATTTCTCGCATTATGAATCCAAGAAAAAGGGTCCCCTGAAAGCCTTCCCCAATAAGAGTTCTTCAGGTCTACTACTCTCAGTGACCAAAATCCACCATTTCATCCGTCCCCCTTCCTGACAGAGTCCAGGGTCTCATCCACGCTCTCTTAAAAACGAGATGGTCCGCACTTTCTGGAACCTGAATGCCTTCCACCCACCCGTGTCACCTCCCTTCCCATCTCGCCGGTGCCCTCCCGCAGCACAGGCCCGGACTGGTCCCTCACCGCCAGCTCGCTCCACAGAGCCTCTACTCACCGCTTCTTGGGGATGGTGCCCGACTCCTGCGCGGCGGGAGTGGCAGTGGGCGCCGCCGTGGCGGCCGCCGCCGCCGCCGCCGCTCTCCGCGCTTTGCACTCATTGGTACTCAAAGCCTCCTGGGGCCGGCCCAGCAGATGGCCCGAAAGAACCCGCAGCCTCCGCCCGGCGCGGTCCCGCTCCCTGTCCGCGGCAGAACCGGAGCCCGCGTCCGCGCCCGTCCCGCCCGCCGCAGCCGCAGCCACCGCCTCCGCCATGGCTTCCGCCTTGTGCCGCCGCCCGGGACCGCTGGGCGCGGGTGAAAGGTCACTCAAAGCTGCGCCCGGCGCGACCATTCGTTGCGGCGCATCCCGGCAGCCACCGCGGCGACTGGGCGGCGGGTGCCATGCGCCTGGAGCTTCATAGTCTCAGCTCCCGCCCACCGCACCCGCCCGCCTCCGCGGTCACGCCCCAGACCTCCGACACCTGTCAAGCAGGTGAGTTTGAGCAGTCCCGGGGTTGGTTCGGCCCGGGATGGGCTAGACCGGGAGTCAAACCGCAAGCGTCCCCGAGGTGTCCTAGTGCCCTGGGTGGCCTCCTTGAGTGTGGCCTGAGCCTCTGGAGTAGCTTTCGGGAGCAAACGCCTCGGAGCAGGAGACATGGGCGGTGCTGGGGACCTGACGAGTGAACCAACGCCATCCTTTCCTGCTGCTCCACCTCTGCTCTCCCTTCCTGCGGAGTCACTAAACTAACTCAAAACTGATTCGTTCCTATAACCATTAGAGCAAATAGCTATCATTTTCTCGTCGCCTACTTCGTGCCTGACACAGTGCTTAATGCTAGATCTCAAGTAAGCAATCTCCATTTTACAGATGAAAAAACTGAGACTCCGAGACACTAAGTTGCCCGAGGGCGTGCAGCTAGTAAATGCTAATGCTAAGTTGCAACCTTGGTTCTCTTTCCGTGGTTACTGGGTGCTGCGCCCTTCCTTTCCCTAATGGTGCCAAAGTTTTGTGTTGCTAGAGATAGAATTACCCTACAGCTGCTCTTAAGACTTCTCATTTATCTACAAATTGACTTCATTTCTGGAGAGTGGCACCTGGTGAAATTAGGGGCATATCAGTAGGACAGTGCTCCACAATCGTTTTCAGCCAGTTGATTAGATACACTTTTATAAGCCACCTTGCAAACCTCAGCCATCAGAAGTAGAGTTACTTTTTGCATAATGTGTAAAAGATAAGTCTTGGGAATGGCAAGAGAAAGGGTTGCCATAAGCATCCTAAGCCCAGTGAAGTCACCTCCTTTCTGAAGAGCCACCTTCTTGCTAACACAGTCTCTGTGAGAGTTAAGATATTCCAGGAGTTATCTGACTGATAGAAAAGAACTATTTAATAGTTCTGAGACAATTCAGGCAACAGTGAGGAGGACTTGGTTTGTATGCCTGATCTCCAGATCTTAAGAGAGAGTTCAATGTTAAACGTCCAGTCTAACTACAGAATCACTGAGCCCCACTCCTGTTTAGCTGCTGCTTCAAACCATTGGCTATTTCAGATAGACTAGGAGTGAAAAAAGGGGGCAGCACTAGTAAATTGCTGAGTGCTCTAAGGAAAAAAACTCAAGTCTGAGAGTTCAGCAACTCTAGTCTTTGAGCTTCTCACACCCTATCTAGATGTTTCTAGAACAACATTGAAACACCATCTAGCACATTTGCTTGCAATCATGTAAAATTCGTAGATTTCTAGCCAAAATGCCGTATAAGCAACAACTTCCTCAGAATCTTTTTGGAATAAAACAGATCTATTAATTTTTGCTTGACTCCCAGAGAGCTCAGTCTAATACCATTTGCATGCCTTAAATGTAAATGTAGTTAACTGACTTCCACAGTCTTTTCCATATTGAGGTTGAACATGCTTCTTGCCAACTCTCAGGAGACAAAATTTATAAATTTTGCTGATATCAACAGAATAACAAAAAGCCTTTTCTCCTGGGTGATGGAAAACTTGATGTGAACCAAAATTACAGTTTTGGTGTAAACTATTATAGCTGTGGAAAAACTGCTGATTATATACATTTCAAATATGTGTACAGTAATGAAACACATGTAGGGAGTAAAAACACTTGTTGAGAGCCTATTATGTAACTAACTCATGTGCTATGAGATGCAAAAGTATTTAAGCCTATGCTTCATCTACATGGTAGAATTAGCTAGTTAGGAATTAGGATATATGTGGGAAACAAACTGTGTGATACTATCAGGTGGAATAAGTGTGATGTAGGTGACCATGGTGAAGGATTTCCTAACCCCTCTCCTTACAAGAGCAAAGCCCAAGCAGAGTGCCCTGATACTTGTTTCATGCTACCTAAGAGGAACAAATGTTTCACATGAAGCATGGTCCATTGAGATTCCCACCAAAGGCAAAACCTCAGTGATATCACATTCAGGAGGGCCATCTCTGCAAACTTATTCCTTCTGAGTCCTGGAACACTTGGCCCTTAATAACCTAGATCCCCATGGAGAGGAGACCATAAGTACAGATTCAAAGTGTGAACCCATAACATGTGGAATTTAAATGGAGTGGCCTTTATTTGTATTTACAACATCTCTTCTAATATAAGGCACACAAAAAAAGTGAAATTAACTCCTGAAACATGCACCAAATTTCTTTATTGCACTGACTTTCATTACTTATTACTTTCATTACTTAAAATTAATGGAGTTGTTTCCAGTTTGGGACTACTGTGGATAAGGTTGCTATAAACATTCTTGAATATGTCTCTAGGTGGACATGTAGATGAATTTCAGTAACATACCCATCTAAGAGTGGAATTTCTAGGTCATCAAGTATGCATATATTTAATAGATAATGAAATGCCAAACTCTTCCAAAGGGATTGTATAAAATTGATTCCAGCAGCATGGGAGAGTTCCCATATGAGAGTTCTGACATGTTATTGCCAGCCTATTTAGTTTCAGCTATTATATACTATTATCTTGTTATGGTTTTAATTTGTGTTTCCCTAGTTACTAATGAGATCAAGTGCCTTTTTGTGTGTGTTTATTGGCCATTTGGATATCATCGTTTGTGAATGTGTAATAAAGATAGATCTCCTGTATTACCTTCTAGAAGCCTTACAGTTTGTCCTTTCACATTTACACCTACAATTTACCTGGAATTAATTTTTATTTATGGTGTAGAGATCAGGTTTCTTTTTTTTTTCCGATATGATTATCCAGTTGTTTCAGCACCGCTTGTTGAAAATATGTTGTTCTATAATACATTGCCACCTTTGTCATAAATCAAGTGTCCATATAGCATTAGTCTGTTTCTGGGCTCTGTATTCTATTCCATTGGTCTATTTATCTACCTTATGCCAGTATCACACTGGCTTAGCTACTGTATATTCTTTTAGATCTTCTACATACAATTATATCATTTGTGAATAGTAACAGTTGATTTCTTCCTTTCCATCCTTATACCTTGTAGTTCTTTTTCTTGCTTTAGCCAATTGGCTAGGACCTCCAGTACAGTGTTGAAGAGAAGTAGTAGTAGTGGCACCTTTATGTTATTCCTGATTTCAAAGGGAAATCTCTCAACACTTCACCATTGTTTGAAGTGGGTTGCTGAGTTTTTGTTTTGTTTTGTTTTTTAACAAACATTTTCACAGGTTAAGGAATTCCCCTTCTAATCCTAGTTTGCTGAGAGTTTTTATCATGATTGGATATTGAGTTTTATCAGATGTTTTTTCTGCACTGGTTGAGATGATCATAGGATTTTTCTCTTTTATTCTGTTAGTATGGTATATTACATGGATTGGTTTTCCACTGTTCAACCAACCTTGTAATGCTGGCATAAACCCAACCTGATCGTGATATATTGGCCTTTTTATGTATTACTGAATACAGAGTAGTATTAAAATTTTGTTTAATATTTTGTGTCTATGTTTACAAGTAAGGTTGGTCTATTATTTTCCTTCTTCTAATAGAAACATGTCAGGTTTTGCTGGCCTCATGAAACACGCTAGTGAGTACTTCTTTGTTTTCAAGGCTCAGGAAGAGTTTGTATAAGATTGATCATTATTTCTTCCTTAAGTGTTTGCTAGAATTCACCAAAGAAACAATCTGAACCTAAAGTTTTCTTTATGGGAAGTTTTTTATTAAAAGATTAAGGGCTTCCCTGGTGGCGCAGTGGTTGAGAGTCCGCCTGCCGATGTAGGGGACGCGGGTTCGTGCCCCGGTCCGGGAAGATCCCATATGCCGCAGAGCGGCTGGGCCCATGAGCCATGGCCGCTGAGCCTGCGCGTCCGGAGCCTGTGCTCCGCAACGGGAGAGGCCACAACAGTGAGAGGCCCACGTATTGAAAAAAAAAAAAAAAAAAAAAAGTAAGTAGTTTAATGCTATTCAGATTTTCTGTTTCTGCTTGTTTCAGTTTTTAACAGTGTTTTTCTAGCACATTGTCTACTTCATTTACATTTTCAAATTTATTGACAAAATTTTTTGTAGTATCTTCTATTATCATTTAATGTCTATAGGATCTTTGGTAATGTCCCATTTTTTTATTCCCAACATTGGTTATTTTGCTATCTCTCTCTTTTTTCTTAAAATCAGTTTGCCAGGCATTTAGCAATGTTATTACTTTTTTAAAGGACCAACCTTTGACTTCGTTGATCCTATTATATGTATGCTTTATTTTTTATTAATTTCTGTTAATATTGCTTATCATTTCCTATCTTCCCCTTATTTTTTCTAATTTTTTGAAGTGAATGCTTAGCTCATTGGTTTCTCAGCCTTTTGTTGTGTTTCTTTTCTGATATATGCATTTAGGACTATAAATTTCTCTATAAGCAATTAACTTCAAGTTTCAATAACATTATTTTCATTATTATTCAGTTCCAAATAGTTTTCTTTTGTATTTGAAAAGAATAATTTGTATTCTCTCTTGTTTAGGGGTGCAGTGTTCCCCAAATACAAATTTGACCTAATGACTGTATTGTTAAGTCTTTTATATCCTGATATTTTATTTAATTATTTTATCAATTATTGAAGTATGTTAAGATCTCCCACTATCATTATGGATTTATATCTTTTTCCTTGTACAGCTAATCTTTGTTTTCTGTACTTTGAAGCTATATATCAGATATGTCAAAATTATTATATTTTCCTGATTAATTGAACATTTTATAATTATCAGATATCCCTCTCTTTTTTCTAATACTGATTTTTGTCTTAAAGTTTATCTACACCAACTTGTATGTGTGTGTGCAGGGCAGTGGTGGTCTTATCCTATGACTTTTAATCTTCTTGTATTCATATATTTTAGATGTGTCTCTTGTAAACAGCATTTAGTTGTTTTCTTTTAGGAAGTATTAGCACAAAATCTTGGATCATTTAGCCTATTTAAGTTTAATTCACTTACCAATA